AGAGAGTGTGTGAGAGTGTGTGTGTGTGTGTGTGTGTGTGTGTGTGTGTGTGTGTGTGTGTGTGTGTGTGTGTGTGTGTGTGTGTGTGTGTGTGTGTGTGTGTCTGTGTGTGTTGGAGAGAAGGCAGTAATTGGTGCAGCCACCCCTCCTCCCCAGAGCGCATTGGAAGAATTGGAAGAGTCATTTCATCTCTGAGGAAACAAACGGATAGAGGCTCTGTGGGCTGTGAAAGCAAAGGAAGCTAAATGACAGAGCAGCGTGGTGTGGCAGCTGGTTGTGTTCTGACCCTCCGTCCTGACTACCTGCAGTCTGAGAGGAAGGCAGTTTAGAGAAGAAGATGCACGTCTACTTCTGCCGGTTGCATTATGCTTCAACTCTGTCCTCACTGCACCACCCTATTGTCCATCAATGCCACAGTAACAATGGTGGTGAAACTACAACCTGTAGCTTTAAAAAAACATGCTTTGGATCAATAGCTCTCTGTCACAGTCTCAACCAAAACTGCACGTTTTACAAGGACTTATTTGTTGCATCGCAGTTGTATTAGGAATTGGATTGTACTATCATTACACCAACCTGAACTGTGTTTAGTTCAATGATTATCAGCGATGGTCACTGAATTGGAAATATTCAATTCCTATTATATCTCCCTTACACTTACCATCAGGAGACATTGCTTGTGAGGTAAACGTGAGCATGGGTTGTTTTAATTGTAACAAACAATGCTGCTATTTTTGTTCAATATTTAGTAAGTAGTAGAGCCTTTTTCTTCTGCAGGTCTAGTAAATATATATTATAAAGCAAACAAGTGTGTTGACAGATTTTTAAAGGAAGGATTTATCTTCTGATGAGAGCTGTTAGGTCTGTGGTGGCCTATTGACAAATCACAAAGCACCACGGGTCAACAAATTAGTAGTTAAAAAAGAAACCATTAAATAACATGCCATCTGCGTAAAAGAAACCCAGTTGAACAATTAAGGGAGATTGTTGAGTGAAAATATTGTTGAAAGGATTTCCAAGGTGCACAAAGTCTCCTCTGGCTTATAACCAATGAGAACTCATCCAGGGTTCCTTTGTGTCCTCATCTGGAAAACTGCAGCCAAGGCATTTCATGCTAAATTCTAGTTAAACATTCAGAACAGCCATTTTCATCACTCAAATCAGGTCCCTTACATTTCCATTTCTGGCAACCCACTCCACTGCTGTCTTCAGAGAGAGACCCATGTTTAAGGTGTGCATGCTAAATGTAACCCCCACTCATTACAGATATGAAACCAGTTGATTGGTTGAAGCCGGCGCAGAGACAAGAGGTTGATGTTGCCTTTGACACTCCAATCTACCCTCCTCATCATGATGTGTGGTGGCAAACAGACGGGGACAGCCCACTCTGTCTTCATACACTCATATCATTTTGTAGATTTGCAGAGAATGTGGGGGTGCGTGTGCGTCTCGCTTCAGAGCCCAAAAGGGGGGGCCCCTCATTATGGAGAGAGGAAAGACAAAGAGGTGTTGGTGAAGACGGGGGAGCTTGAGATGTGGACGGGATGAGAGTGTGAATGAAACAGGGAGAGAACAGTTTGAAACCCGTTGGATTGCTCATATTTTCTTGCACTCGGGAAGATTCCAAGTGTGGAGAAGCCAGCAGGAGAAACAGGAAATGAGTTGCCCCTTAATAGCACTGCTTCTCCCTTTTGTCCCCTTCTTGTTCTATTCCTCTCTTTCCCTCTCCACCCCTCAGGGAGGCTGGGCAGCAGCCAATCTCATTGAGAGGCAGATCAATACAAATATATATTGTCAACTCAGAGCGCTACCCTGTTAATCAATTAATCTATAATAGAATCCATTCAGTGGAACCTCTTAAAGGGCCCGTCCTCCCATTATCAGCTATGGGTCAAAAAAGGTGGATGCATATAGGGGTCTCATTACTAGAAATGATGGGGGGAGGTGGAGGGGGGGTTGAAATTTTCAGCATAGATACAGGTGATACACATTTAATGGCATTTGTAAGGAACAATGCTTATGTATGCTCAAGAACAGATTCAAGATTCAAGGCTTTATTGTAACGTGCACAGCAGCTACAGTGTAGCATGGCAATGAAGATCTTAAGTCCAAGGCTCCTCCAACAATGCAACATCAATATATATAAGACATAAAACAAGAAAACAAAACAAGAAAACAAGAAAAATAGTGCAAAAAGAAATTGAGTAGAAATTAAATAGAGCAAGTCTGTGTTGCAAGGCCAATGTGCAAGTACTGTAGGAGAAGTGAACTATATACATACAATAATAACTATATGCATATAATAAGCTAAATGTTGCAGCGAATGTTGTAACTGACAAAGTAAATGCAGGAGTCTATATACACTACATGTAAATACAATAAGATAGACATGAACCGAATGTAAAATAAAATCAGAAAGTTAGAAAGTCAGATGACATTTGTTATCATAATACTGTTGCCCATAAAGTTGGAATACAATATTTTGTACCTCTTCTCATAAAAAGACAATGTGACAATGTGATTGATTCTTGATGAATAAAGTGTATATCTACAGTGTACATTTAATTCAATTCAATGTTTCAGTTTTTTCAGTGTAGTAATAAATACATTTGTGTGCAAACAGATGCATGCTATGGAGTACATCAGCGCACCAAAATGATAAGCAATAGTCTTTGATGAGTTATAATTATCAAGGATACATGCATCAGACTTCAAGACTCCCCTAGGGCAGTGGTTCTCAACTGGTCAGGCCTTTTTCCTTTGTCAATAGATCGCGACCCAACATTTCGAACCACTCAAATCTATTCAACAAAGAATTGTGCTGTAATATATACGCTTTGCAGCATACAATATTAATAAAAATGAAGTACAGTGCATATATCCCTTATAGCCCTTAAAAAAACTAAAGCATGCTTTTAATTAAGGTTTAATGAGATGATGGAATCAAAGCTGAACTGTATAACACAAAAAGGCACACGTGCTGAAAACCCAACCCCAGGAGGGGGGCCTGGGGGGATTTTCCCCCAGGAGATTTTTTGAAATACTAACATATAAACTACGCATTCTGGTACACTCTGAGAGGAAAATAAATAAATCTTTTTCTACCCAACATTTTAATAATATTATATGCCATTGTTTGTTTTTCACTTTGTTCTGACAGCTTGCTGCTCCTCACAGAGAGAAGAGCAAAGAGGAGTGTGAATTATATTAAATTGTGGGTAAGGGTAGATAGCCCCCATTGTTCTGTGACCTGTCAATCATCAAACCGGGGGTCATATTTAATTGCGTGTTCATTTTTATCTGAAGTTGAACCCATGGTTGTATAAAGAGTAGTTCTACCGCAAAGTTATTCTCCGTGGGGACTTCTTGCAACAATCGTGACAGAAGTTTTCAAAACCGTTGATGGTCTCCGGTACTTCCAGTCCAACGCCGACTGCATGCACAGCGTTAGAAAATCGGGCCTTCAAAAATAAAAGTTTGACTTTATTCCAAAAAAAATAAAAAATAATTATTCACTCACAAATCTGCGACCCACTCGAAACGGGTCCGCGATCCACTTTTGGGTCACGACCCACCAGATGAGAACCACTGCTCTATATCACAGGATATAGCATAGATCACTGATAAACCAGGGATATAAACAGACAGAACATGGGGAAGTTAAAGGATAACAAATGTGACATTAGAGGTCAATCTAAGAAGCAGGGATGCTTGTTAATGTGGTTCATGTTTTCTAGAAATCTGAACACGTGCAGTTTCAGAACGGTATTTTTTGTTAGATGGTTAAATTGACCTCTAAAATCTTTTTTTGTCATCCTTTCATTGTTCCCATATGCTGTTTGTTGATTATATGCCTGGTTTATCAGTTGAGTTTAGTATTCATGCCTTTGTCAACATCTGACAACAGTAATACACTAACAATCATTACCTAACACTAATTCAGACATTAGTTCTGAATACACACGTGCATTTTTGTTTGGGAGACTTGTCAGAGTGAAGAGGCTGCAAGGTTTTCGGGTACCAGGGAGCAAAGCCTATCCAGTCCGGGAGCAGAACCACTAACCCTTCAGTTTGATGCATAGTACCTATAGATTGATCTACTGCCTATTTATCAATCCGTCTATATTCAATTCAAATTATCAATATTTAACAACACATGTACATTCTCCACAGTCGATGGTCTGTTCTCCTCTCCTCTCCAAGTGGCATACTTGGTACACAAATGTATTTTTAAGAGTGAAATATGTCTTTAACCAAACTGAGCAATAACCAGAACATATTGCTTTTGACTTACAAACAACAGCGTGCTTTGTAAACGTGTGTATAGAATAGATGAAAGTTAAAACCTGTATATTTATACTATATTCCTGTACACATGAGACAAACCACAGGTAAATCTTTTACAGTATTTTTATTTTGTCGGAATGACAGCTTCTGTTATGTACAATAGAGGACAGAAACAAATGTTACAGAAATTATAAATATACTCTTGCTCCAGACTTGCTGTGTTCAGGCCGTGTCCAGTGGATTATTTCCTATTCAAGTATGCTCTCTCTCTCTCTCTCTCTCTCTCCACTCTGCAAGTCAGTACCAGGCAATGAGGAACTGGACAACCAAGAGGTAACTGATGTGTGATTTCAATACTCGCATGCTGCCCTCCTAACTAAGAGTGATCAGTGGGCAGGATAAGAGAGAGGATGATGTGCTGTTGAGCCAACGAGTGGACCACCCTCACGTGAAGTCTCTCTCGCAGTGATGGCGGAGGGAAGCGGGTTGAAGAGGAAGATGAGGAGCAAACGTGGGACAGTCGGAGCAACAAAACAATGCTTTTTAAAACCTCAGCCAGTACATGGCACTGCGCACTCTGTTGTAGTCGGGGAGCTGCTCGCAGGGACCTGATGGAGAGAGGCAGGAGGGAGAGGTTAGAGAACGATAATACAGCCTGGGCTCTGACTGATACAAAATGACTAAAACCACAGAGAACTCACCGACAGCTGCCACAGCGGGACACTTATCGTAGATGTATTTGCTGCAGACGTCACGCACCATCCTGGGGGTCACGGCCTGAAAGAAGAACAGTGGAGGAAGTCAGATCTCTTATCCTATAGATGGACTAGAAGGCACTTTGGAAAAGGCGCTGCTTCATGCAATCGTCTTTTATTTCCTTCCAGTTTGGGACTCACGTCGATGCGAGCGTCCCACTCTGCCAGAGGAACACGGCGTCCGTAGTTCAGGACGTGTCTGCCGATGTCGTCACAAATTGGTGTTGTTCCTAAAAGACAAAAAGGGTGTGATTATTCATCTTGTTTAACTCATAGTAAAAAATTCAAATAACAAATACACGTTGAGCAGGTTGTAAAGCCCATGATGGGAAAGAGCAAGGCGAAGTCTTATTTCGCCTGCCCATTACTCCAAATAAATGACTGTTGAAATGTGTTGACCCAGACTTCACCACTGTACATTTAAATATGGCAAAACCAATGAACAATACAGAATTCGCATTGACCTTGAGTACAGCACGTTTGTTTAAAAACATTTTCTTAATATACTTTTAGCTATCCGTGTTAATGTATCGTACATTATAACACCCACAAATCTAAATGCAGAATTCTGTTAGTATGCTTACTCCATCTATTCACAATGTCAAGTTGACTTGGGATTTGGAGGATTTAGTATGAATGTTTTTGTAAATGCTTGACCAACATGTCACCCACCATTGAGCTGTCCCACCAGGCTGGCCTTCAGGGCGATCTTGCCTCTGACCACATCACTCTCCGTCACTGTGGTGCACAGGTTCATCCTGTAGGGGGCAGCGAGTGGAAGAAATGAGTCCTATTGTCCTATAATTAAAAGTAAAATAAGATAACAGTTTCGATGTTCTGCGAGTGTCTCTACTGACCAGGCGTTCTGGGACCAGTGCATCATATCTTCAATCTTGAGCTTGTCGGCCACAAAGTAGATGCCCAGCAGGCCGGTGTTGCTGTAGGACGAGTGGAAGGCCTGGAAGCTGTGGCACAAGTCCTCCTCCACGGCCAGGCGGGCCAGACGACTGCTCAGGTGCTGCAGGGAGAGGGAGGGGAGTTGATATACGATTTTAAAATACAATTTCTTGACAGTTGGACATTTAAATGCAAATTGGACCAGTTTGAAAATGTAAACAATTTATCAATGTTGCATTGGTTTGATTCAGGAACCTTTAGTTTTTCACTTCACACTTAAAACCTTTTTTTAGCACAATATATTTCTGGCTTCAAAAGCTAATACTAGAAACCTGAAGTCAAATGTAAAACCTTTTATAAGACCCTTTCCATACATTTTAAGACCTCATCGCCACTTTGAGTTCTAACCGGTTACATTGGCGACACACTTTACCTCACATTGACTATATACAGTATTGATTGTCTTTCCTCCTTATCTTCCAACCATTTGGACGCAGACTTGCATTTCCCCATAACGATGTTGCTTAGCAACCGGCGTAAACGGACCTTCGCGCGCTATCAAGCAGTGAGCGCTCGATGTCCTGTTCAGATGACGTCAAATCCAACGGGATGCCATAAATAAACTACACAGAATCACACTACACACCTACGCAATGATTACATTCAGGCAGACTGTAGAACACAACCTCTTTGGACAAGTTATATACTTATTGAAAACAAGCTACAAAATGTAATACCTTGGAAATGCCGTTTAATACTTTTTAATAGCCTTAATTTTTGCTGCATTGATTTATCAATTTTTAATACTTTTTAAGACCCGCGGACCCTCGCCTGTGTTCAATGCAGGGATTGGGCTCTCCATGATTAAACCAATGTTCGAGCAGCTGCTTTATATTTCAGGTCTTGTTCCTCCCGGAGATGTCCAGAGGCAGAGGGAGACCCCTGACCCAGGTCATCAGGGAGGATCATAATCTACCCCTTTATAATGGCCACTCAAGGCACTATCAACCTCAAGTGGGCAAAGCTAAAAGGGGACACTGCTGGATACAATTCATCCGTGTCTTTTTTCTTAACTGCATTAACCACCAATTCCAGCTTAACAAAAAAACCCATGTCACCAACCTTTCCACGCCGT